CCTCTCCCCGCCCTCTCTCTCTCTCTCTTTGTTAAGGGGTGTAGCCCCTAGTGTGTCTGTTCTGTATGCTTGCTTGTTTCCTTGCTACAGTACTCAAGGTGGAATGGCCCATGATGTTGATTACATCATTACACACATTTGTGGCCGAGTTGTTTCTTTGTCTCTTCTTCGACTGAATTCATGTCATGTAGGGGGGGGGGGGGTGCGAGAATGTGGTTAAACCACATACTCATCATACCACCGTCTTCCCTCGAACATAACGCATATGCGTCGTAAATGAATACAACGTGTAGGTTGCTTTCTACTCGAATACAACCCATATGTGTTCTATTCGAACAGTCCTTATTTCCAAATACAACGCATATGCGTTCTATTCAGATTTCTGAATTTGTCGAAAACTCGAATATAACACACATTCGTTATGTTTGGAGGAAGACGGTAGGACCTTTCTACCACGAGTACATGCTCTCAAGTAAACAGATAGGAAGTGGAAGTTTAAAATGAGGAGTAATGAGAGTTGCCTAGCTTAGGACAAAGATTCTGACGGAGTAGTTCAATAGGGATCATATGAAAGAGTGAAAGGGATTGATGGCTCGGTCCTTTGGCCACAACGGAAAGAAGGGTCAGTGTCTGTGAATCTGTAGTATACGTGACTTCCTGGTGGAATTGGAGCTGGACTGATTCTCCACAGAGTAGAGCGGAGCAGGGACCATAAGGCCCCGATGCACTTAATGAAGAAGAAGAAAGAGATCATATGAGGGCATCATAGAAGCACACGCTGCACACGGATGTTCAGGTGACAAACTCTTCTACAGACGACAGTATTGGCTGAATGGCATGGGTTAGCACATCATTAGCTTGCCAATACACAAAGCCTGCATGATCTGCACAGTGCTGTGCGAGAAAAGGCCGGGGGGGTGGGTGGGTGGGTGTGGAGACAGAGAAAAAGAGAGACGTGGAGCAAACTTGGTGAATAACAGCAAAAGCTGAGACACATTCTTGCGATTGTGTCGAAGACGAAACAAAGGATGCAAAAACAATCCCTCTGCCTCGAAGTTAGAGAAAAAAAGGATGCAAAGACACAGGGTAGACATGCATTCAGAAAACCAAAAGGGGAAGAGACAGAAGAATGGTGATCACAAGGAAAGTACAGGTGATCAAAGGGGAGGAACAAAGGCAATTAGAGAACAGGATAAAAAACCGGGGGCGAAAGATCAAGACATGGTAAAGGAAAAGAAGAAAGGAGAGAGAAGAGGGAAGAAACAATGTGTGTGTGTGTGCGTGTGAACGGTTGTGTGCATGTATGCATGCCTGCATGCCATGGCACACAATCTCTGCCAGGCAGGGCTCCGGAACAAAGACCAGCATACCGAGAGACTCTCTGGCAGGAGGGACCACCTAATGACGGTATGGGAACTACTTTGACAGGGCATGACCAAAATGTCGCATGCGCTTGGTGGTACTATTTGTAGGTGTGGGACAGACGCATCCATCTGCGGAAGGTAGGAAAATACTATGCCAGAGCATCTATGCATTGAATACACAGCTGCGGTATGAACCAGAACACACACAAACAGACATCACAAATAAACACAGAAGAAGGGAGGGAAGGTAAGACAACGAAGCCAAGGGGCAGGGAGTTAATTCGCGGCCGGATGACAAGCCACAACAGGGTACGTAGACTGGAGGGCGCGGGGGGGAGAAGCAAAAAAGTTAAGACAACACATGGGCTGGAGGGCATGGGGGAGGCGGGAGAGCAGACAACACACAAGCACATCAGGCAAGAAAACGACAACAACCACCGGACAAGACAAGTACCAAAACCGAAAACTGAAAAAATAAAAACTGATGATGATAGATTGTTTCGTCGGAGTTGCACCGACTCATCAGGAGGCTGAACCCTCGACAATCTGCGGAACGCCCGTATTGATGGTTTGGGTCAGGCAGACTGTCCCCAAGCAGAACATAGCAGAAGCACCAGGCAACACTGCTGGAGCAACTCAAGTGCACCATGCCAAAAACGACTGCAAGGAATGACACGGCAAGCGAGCAAGCAGCACAGCAACGGTGCAGCGAAGCACAAGGCAACGCCAACACAGCAGCCACACCACATGGCACACAAGCAAGGAACGCGGAAGGGAAGGCATGTGGATGGGCAGCAAGGCAACAGTGCAACAAAGCACGGGGCAACACCAACACGGCAGCCACACCACATAGTGAACACAGCAAGTTGCAAAGAACGACATGCGACACCAGCGGGATGGGCAGCAAGGCAGCGGCGGAGCGGAGACAAGGCAGTCTACACATCCAACACGGAGCAAAGCGGCACATCACCTACTCACATGATGGGTGAACTTTGCAGACGGTTGGTTCCCACCACCGGTACTCCAACGGACGTCAATCATCGACCCACAGACCTCATGCACCACAGACATCACAAACGGAGTGCCCCCCTAAGAGTCCTGCAGGCACTCCAAACTACCAACCACCGACTATTTAGCACTTCTGGAGGGTGCTCGTACAGACAAAATTCAAGAAAGAGGAAAAACATACATACATGCATAAAGATGATTGTGTGTGTGTGTGTGTGTGTGTGTGTGTGTGTGTGTGTGTGTGTTTTAGATTTTCCCCACAACAGCCCCAATTCCACCCAGGTGAATAGATTCAGAATCAAAGCTGTCCTATTGCCATTCCCGACAACGAGAGCATTTGAGATGTCCAACATATTAAAGAAATTTTATAATTAGACAGTTTTTTGGTTGTCCTTGGGGTACCCCTTTCATTGTTCTTCCAGCTCCCCTTTTACTGTGCCTCTTACGCACAAGGCCGCCCATGTTGATTGTGGTTGAGAGGCAGAGTGTGTGTGTGTGTGTGGCACCTTCGCCTGCTCATACCTAAGAGGGAGAAGCAAATTGCTGTGAAAATAGAAGAAGGTCTTTGCTTAAACTCATCTGGCGAATTCTTTTTGCTGCTCTGACACTCTCTACACCTTTCCCACTCCTGGTTGTTTCCTGAGGATGTTTCTTGTGGGGCCCATTCCCCTTCTAGGTGTTCTTCTTCTGCTGCCAATGTTGCCGTTTAGGGGACACTCTCTGACAGGATCCAGTCCTTAAAAGGTAGAGGCCCATGATTCCTGCAATGACCCCGCTGTGGAGCCACTCTTCCTCAAATTCCTTGCCTACCCTGTCTCGTTTCAGAGGGTCAAAATTTCCGGCTATTTTTCCGCCTCAGTCATTTCTCAGCTGAATTTGACCCTCTGAAACAAGACAGTGTATGCAAGGAATTTGAGGAAGGGTGGTTCCACAGCGGGGTCATCACACGAATCATGGGCACCTCTATTTTTTTTAAATCGACTGAAGCCGGTCAGAGAGTGTCCCCCCAAAGGCGACAATTGGCAGAAGAAGAAGAACACCTAGAAGGGGAATGAGCCCCGCAGGAAACATCCTCTGCTGTTTGACGATATATAGTATGTTCTTGTTAGAGGCGTTACTCGTGTATTGCCGCTCGCCCTTGTGGAGTCTTCTCTACACTTATGAAAGTTCCTAATGTGAGAATTTTGGCATCCGAGCCATTCACAGACCTACCGGCCCGACGGCCCGGATTGCCCCACGATCTTAAGATTTTAAGATCGCCCGGTGATCCAGGCCGTTTGCGGTCCTGCCGGGCCCGACGGCGTGGATTAGAAGTTCGCAGCGCAACCAAAGCTAAGGCTGCCAGGCGTGGGGAGAAACCAGTTCCAGGGGGGCCGGTCCCCTATAGGGTGCAGCAGTTCGGCCCCCGCGCACGCATGTCTTCGGCGGTGCACGGAGCCGGTGTATAGCGAACAAGACAAGACTCACTCACACGCCCCCCCCCCCCCGCCCGCTTGCTTGAACAAGCACATGCACAAACACATGCACATGCACGCATGCACACACACGCACGAACACACGCACGAACACACGCACATGCACGCACACACACACGCACACACACAAATGCATCATGGGCAGACTGTTGGGGTTCAACCTCCTGATGAGTTGGTGAAAGTCCAACGAAACAGTCTGGCAGAGCCGTGCTTTTTGGGGGGGGTTCACACAAATGCACGAACTGTGGGTGGGTGGGTGTGCGTGCATGCGCGCGCGCG